CGTCTTGGATTTGAAACTCTCATATCTTTTAATTTATTGTAATAATTTTGAAATCTTTTCTCTCTCTTTAATAATGATAATTTAAAAATAATAATAATAAACAAGAAGGATGACATAAGAAAACTTACCAACACTCATATCGGAAAATTTTTAGGTGTACCGGGTACACCAAATTTTTTTGGTGTACCCTCACTCATTAGAATTTTTTTGGTGTACAAAAAGTGAGGGTGCACCAAATTTTTTTGGTGTACCCTCACCATTATGAGTGAGGGTACACCAAAAAAATTTGGTGTGCCGGGTACACCGAAAAATTACTCCACTCATATCTTCTAATTTATTATAATAATTTTGAAATCTTTTCTCTCTCTTTAATAATGATAATTTAAAAATAATTATAGTAAACAAGAAGGATGACATAAGAAAACTTACCATGGTAAGGATAGTGTGATTATAAATGCACAACAAAAGTTTATCCGCACACTCAAAGTTTAATATTTAATTATTCACGCACTTATCTTCAAGAATAAAAATTCTTTAAACAATTGGATACTAGCAACTGTTTGTAAACACTAACAAGTACTTATCATATCATGAATTACTAGATGACACGTGTTAATAACTTTATACATTGATTTATAATATAAATAATTTAAATGATAAGCACGAAATTATATAATAAGTCACAAAATGTTTTGAAGACGAATTTCTTCACCATTTTGGAGTCTAATTAAGTATTGTTCAATTCCTTATACACAACTAATAATACAAAGGAACTCAAACATTAATTAATGAAGTCCACACACATGGCTAGTAAGAAATTATTCAGAGATGGATATTTCTACAGTAGTGAATCGCGTTGCGAATGGAAGTGAGTGGTTGCTTGTGCACCTATCATAAAGCAATCACCCTCGTTTTGTTTTTTTTTTCCATTGGTTTATTCAATCCGAAGAGAATCGTGTTGCGAATGGATGTGAGTGGTTGCTTGCGCGCCTCTCATAAAGCAACCACCCTCGTTTTGTTTTTCTCCATTGGAAGTGAGTGGTTGCTCGTGCGCCTCTCATAAAGCAACCACCTTTGTTTTGTTTTTCTCCGTTGGTTTATTCAATCAAAAGAGAATCGCGTTGCGAATGGAAGTGAGTGGTTGCTCGTGCGCCTCTCATAAAGCAACCACCCTCGTTTTGTTGTTCTCCATTGGTTTATTCAATCCGAAGATTAGAAAAACGTGGGACGAGAGTTTAGGCAGAAAATGTGAGTATAGAAGTCACTTCTTTATCAATATGCCTCCAGTTTGGATGATCCGCTGGCTCCGAGTACAAGGGAAGACATCGCTCTTGACGATCACGATGGACGATATCCGAGGTTTAAGGCAAACGAGGTCTCTTTCCAACATTACTGGCTGATCCCAAAGACAAGGAAACCAATTCGTCTCGGTTACGGATTAGGTGGATCCTGCAACTCTTGAAGCCTTAGCAGAACCATTCTTACACATCCCAGATTGCTCATATAATTGGTATGCACACAGATTCCGTACAGGAAAAACAAATCTCAGAACGGAACGTAAACCATGCAAGCACATGTCTCCCCATGAGATTGAAAGAGAAACCACAAAATCACAGCCGCTCTAAGTTCAAAAACAGATAAACATGATGGAGCTCCAGCCTTATCCCCCACATTTATAAAATTAATCCACTATACACACAATGGGATTGCACCAACACTCTGAAGACAAGGGAAGCAGTTCGTCTTGGTTGAGCAATAGACTCTGCACCCTGCAACTTTTAACGCGTGAGCCTTCGAGGAATTGAAATATAACTTGACATATATCTCTCTGCTGCTCGTCTAAATCCACTAACTTGAGCCACACATGAGTTGCCTCAATGTTATACTTGAAATTAGGATAGAAGTCTTTTTCCCGTTGACGAGTACATATGGATCATAAGGAGTCGGTGCTTCAACAACAATACATAGAACCAATCTGGACGTCTCATCTTGTAAATTTAGAAGAATTTCAAAACAAAATTCACTGCCTCTAACAGCTTCTTCCTTTTCATTTTCTGATGGAAGTTCAAATGTTGTTGGATGTTTAGAGGTATAGCATAACCACTTCGGAATTTCAGTGCCTCGAAGAATAATTTCCAATCCAGAGTGCCAAAGAGATTCCTACAATATTAAATAATGTATAGATAACTAATACTAACAGTCTGTGATCTGAGGTTTCAAGTATCAACAAATTAATTTCAAGATAAATTAAGAAGAGAGAGGAACCTGATTCAACAAATTATTTCCAACTTTTTCACCTCATCGCCGCTTAGTCTAAAGCAATTAGTCAAGTTCAGACACTCGAGCATCGGGGGCAGTTTTGAAATTTTCTCCAATGATGTGCAATTATCTAGATCTAAGTGAATTAGTTTTGGTGGAAGCACTTGCGGAATTTCCCGAAGCCTTATGCAACTAATCAATCTAAGTTGCTTCAAGTTGACAAATTTGCTAATGCAATCCGGAAGGCTAACAAAATTGTTTCTCGACAGATCAAGTCTTGTTAATGTGGACCAGCAATCAAGAGGCACAAGGAAATCACTTTCTGATAAACTGCATCCGTCAAGATCAAGATAGTGTAGGTTGGGAAAGAAGAATGTGATACACTTGTCATCTACAATATCCAAATCAGTTGTGCTCAGTTTTGGGCGCCCACACACACACACACACACACATATATATATATATATATATGTATTTGTAAGGTTCTCACAACCATCTGCATCCAAGCTTTTAAGCCTAGTAAGGTAAGCAATTGATGAAGGCAGTTCTCTTATACCACTTTTTTGTATGTCCGATAAAACTAGGGATTCCATCTTGTCCTCTATTTCAGGGAAACTCTCCAGACTTGTGCAACCACAAAGAGAAAGCATTTCAAGGGATCTCAATCCAAGTCTTGTTACAAACCTCGTAAGCTTAGAGCGACTGCGAAGATTCAAGTCAACAGGTTTATCAAGGAATCCAACAGAATCATCAACTTCAACCAAACTTTTACACTCCCTCAGATCCAAGTGCTTTATGTTTGGGCTTCCGGATAAGTTGGGGATTTTTTTTCCAAGAATTCACAACCACTTAAATTTATTAATGTAAGATTTTCCAAATTCTGTGAAACTAAAACAAAAAATAAAACAAAAAGTCACATGCTTTAATAATAATGAAAAACTTTGAAAAAATTATTTTGAAGTACGTACCTTAGGGGGGGGGTGTGTAGTCAAACTCGGATTTGAGAGGATTTTAAAAGACTTTAAAATCCTAGTGTAGTCAATTAAAGGATTTTAGAATCTATTCAAATCTAGGTGTAGTCAATTAAAAGATTTTAAAATCTATTTAAATTTAGGTGTAGTCAATTAAAAGATTTTAAAGTATTTTAAAATCCATCCAAATCTAAGTGTATTAAAAAAATTAAGATTTTGGAGGATTTCAATAAGTTGTGGATTTTGTGGGATTTGAGAGTAAAAAGTATATATAACCAAGAGTAAAAAGAATCCAACCTCACCCCCTAAGATTTCAAATCCTTCCTCCACAATCCACCACAATCCATTCAAATTCTATAAAATCCCTATGAATTTTGTATGAGTCTTTAATATACTCTTAAATCCTATCAAATCTATCACTTTTAAAATCCTTTAAAATCCTTTAAAATCTTAGTTTGACTACACCCCGCTTTAAATCCCTTCAATTGTCTGATACAACTACATGACACATCCCACATAACGAGATAGCTTGGATGATAATTGGATGGCAAATTGAACACAACCATATGCTTTGGATGGATATGGGATCCCAAAATAATGTAAGTCACGCCCACCAAGTTTAATCCACCTCAAATCCTTAGTCAGATAATCAAGGCGTCCAGAACATTGTGCATTATGATTTATAAAATTTTCAAAATTTACCATCTGCGAGAAGCTTTTTGCATTAAGGGTATCCCATCTGGTTTGGGAAACTTCACCACAATGCCTTTAATTTTCATTGTTCCTAAGATGAAAAAAGAAAAGAAAAGAATTATTGTTAAATTAACAAACAAAACACAAGTTCTGTTTTATTTGTTTTTTTCTTTTCAATATCATGCCAAATCAAATGCAAGAACCTATTTTCTACTTACTAGATCTATTTTCAGTTAGATCAAGGTAGACATCTTTATGATCCTACAATCTGCTTCGCTTGCCTGGTTCAGTGGACGACACTTCACAAAATATACACTTACCTATTTTTTCTAGCAAGTCATGCATCAAAATCCTATTACCTTCAATAGTTATAATGGTATTCTCAACAAGTACTTCAATACAAGCTTAAGGTACATTACGTTTCAAACTTCATAATATTTATAACACATAGTCTTTATCTATACCCTTGAAGAAGCATGCAATGTCTAAGGAAAGCTTCGTGCATAATATTCCTCTTCATTTCATTCAATGTAATAAAATTACAATGGTGCTTCAGTATATAAAGCAATGCACAATTCTGTACAATTACAATTATGGCCTTGTCTAATCTACCAATTTACAAGAAGATGATAACAAACATCTAACTAACTTGATGACTTAATACTTGACTCTTTAATGAAGTGAGAAGCTGAAAGCAGAATATGTATATTCCAAAGTTCATATAGTACATGTACATATGTTGATTGTACGTAATAGGCAAAACCATCTTCATTCTCTTGGATAAAGCATGATTTGTTTAAACCAAACCACAGTTCAAGATGAATACACGCTTTCTAATTATTCAAACCAAAAGCCAAACAACTTGCCACATTATATATGAAAAAAGAAATGAAAAAAATACACAGTACTACTAGACGGCAAAGTTTCGTATACAATATTTACAAAAAAAGAAAAAAAAAAGAACAAGAAAAAAAGAGGAAGTTGCATATAGAAGGGGCAGCAGCAGCTGCATATCAAGAAAACAGAAGACAGACAAGTAGTAAACATTATTATATATGCACCCAAGATCCTCATGCATCAGAGATTGTCAATCATCTGAGATTTTGAAGTGGATGGTTGCTCCTGCTCATCCTCAATCTCAATAGGAACATGGAGATCAATATGCCTCGGCTTTGTATAATCATCCGCTAGCTCCAAAGACAAGGAAGGCCATTGCTTTAGCTGATCATACTCATAATCTGGCGCTAACTTCTTTGCCTGGAAGAATTTTCTAACACTTCGAACTTCATTGCCTCGAAGAAGAATTTGCAATTCAGAGCGCCAATATCCCTGCAATAGCAAATACATATATATACATATATACATACATACATAGATACATACATACATACATACATACATACATACATACATACATACATACATACATATATATATATATAGTGTTAACTAATCACAAAAAATCTGTGATCTGACCTCTCTCTCAAGTATCAACAAAATTAATTTAAATTTCAGGAGAAAAGAAGAAGAAGAGAGAGAAACCTGATTCAACAAATTATTTTCCAATTTTGCCACCTCAACGCCATGTAGTCTAAAGCAATTAGTCAAGTCCAGAACCCTAAGCATCGGGGGTAGTTTTAGATTTTTCTCCAATGATGTGCAATCATCTAGATATAAAGAAACTAATTTTGGTGGAAGCAGTTCTAGAATTTCCCGAAGCCTCTTGCAACCACTCAGTCTAAGTTCCTCCAAGTTGACAAATTTGCTAATGCATTCGAGAAGAATGACAAAATTGTTTCTCGACAGATCAAGGCTTCTTATTGTGAGCAAGCAATCGAAAGGCACAAGGAAATTAAGATGTTGTAGCACGGAAAGCATTAGTGTGTGACAGTCATCATCTGAACTATCCAAATCAGTTGCGATCAGTTTTGTGGAACCATGTAAATATATATTTGCAAGGTTCTCACAACCATTTGCTTTCAATCTTTGAAGCCCACTAAGATATGTAATTGATGAAGGCAATTCTCTTATGCCACTTTCTTGTATATCCAAATACCATAGAGATTCCATCTTGTCCTCAATTTCTGGAAAACTCTTGAGCCTTGTGCAACCATTGAGATAAAGCCATTCAAGGGATCTTAATGCAAGTTTTGTTGCAAACTGCGTAAGCTTAGAGCACCCACTAAGATCCAATAAAACAAGTTTATCAAAGAATCCAAGTAAATCATCAACCTCAACCAAACTTGTGCAGTCACGTAGATCCAAGTGCTTTATGTTTGGGATTCCAGAAAAGTCTAGAATTTTTTCCAAGAATTCGCAACCATTTAAATTTATTGATGTAAGCTTTGTCAAATTCTATGAAACAAAAACAAAAAACAAAGCAAAAAGTCAGAGACTTCAGTTAGAATAATTAATAATGAAAAACTGAGAAAATTTTCTTTCTCCAAAGATAAAGTGTACATTTGAATTAGTATTCGTTCAAAATAATTTAAAATACATATACATACCTTAAATCCCTTTAATTGTTTTATGCCACTGTATGGCATATCAAACATGACAAGATGTCTTGGATGATAATTGAATTGCAAATTGAACGTAACTAGATGCTTTTGAAGAATATTGGATCCCAAATTTTGAAAGTCAAGTCCACCCAATTCAATCCACCTCAAATCATTGGGCATATAATCAATGCGTCCAGAAAATTGTGCATTACGGTTTATAAAAATTTCAAGATTTACCATCCGTAAGAAGCTTTTTGCATTCAAGGGTATTACATCTGGTTTGGGCAACTTCACCACAATGCCCTTAATTTTCTTTGTTCCCTAAGATGGAAAAAAAAACAATTGTTAGCAAACAATGTTGTTTAATTAACAAACAAAACTCAAGGTCTATTTTAATTTTTTTGTTTTTCTTTTCAAAATCATGCCAAATCAAATGTATGAACATATATTCTACTTACCCGATTTTCAGTTAGAACATTGTACACATCTTCATGAAACCATAACCTGCTACGTTTTCCTGGTTCAGTGGGAGATTCTTTATAAACTATATGCTTACCCATTTTTTCTAGCAAGTCATGCATCAAAATCCTATTACCTTCAATAGTTATGATGGCATTCTCAACGAGTACTTCAATACAATCTTGAGGTACATTGAGCTTCAAACTTCTCAATATTTGTAATATATAATCTTTATCTTCACCCTTGAAGAAGCATGCAAGGTCTAGGAAAACTTGTTGCATTACATCATCCCAAGAATCATAACTTTTTCGAAGTATTCTTTGAATACCTCTATAAGGTTCTCCTTCGTAAGAATCATAACTATCAAATATAGCTTGCCAACGATCTATACTTTTATTACGCAGATGAGAACCTATAAGAGTAAGAGCTAACGGAAGTCCTTGAGCATAGGCTATTGCACGTTGTGCAAGGCTTAAATAATCATCTGAAGGTTCTTTTCTTCCAAAGGCATTCAAACATAGAAGCTCAAGAGCCTTGTCGTCTTCTAACTTTTGGACCTCGTAGATCAACTCGACCCCATAACATTCTAGCAATCCTCTATCTTTTGTGGTTATGATCACTCTGCTGCCCTCACCGAACCAATTGACTTCAACCAAGTTGTTTAACTGCTCCAATTCATCCACATCATCAAGAATTAAGAGAATCTTCTTTTGCCTCAAAAGTTTCTCTATAAGGTTGATTCCGTGATGAACATTGTCAATTTTCACCCTCGTACCAGGTAGAACTTTTGATAGAAGAGTCTTTTGTAGTTTGATTACACCTTCATGTGATGTCAATGTTTCTCTCACATCTGCCAGGAAACAACTACCTTCAAACTTATGAGCAATTGCATTATAAACAGCTTTTGCAATTGTTGTCTTGCCAATTCCAGGTGCCCCCCAAATCCCAACCACACAACGACCATTTTCACCGACATCTAAAATCTCTTCCACCTCTTCTACATGATGCGAGATTTATACGCACACAAATTAAACCCTCTTTTTGTCAATTGTAGTATAAGTATAAGTAGGGATCGTTCTGGACCGGAGATTAGGAGGGATTGTTAATCTCTTGGAAACTGACTCAAAAACGTAAAAACAAGATAAAACACTAAACTAGACTCAAAGAATGTGAAACTAAACGTTAAAACACTAAGACAAACCAAAAGACTCAAAATGCTTTAAAAACACAAACTAAATTGATTTCTAACTAAATTGAACAATAAAGTAAAGGGGGATTGGATTTGGACGACTTTAAACTAAAAATGGAAACTTGGAAATAAAACAAATTGTAAATATGGATTTGACGGAAATGAATGGATGGGAAGCTAGCTAAGGGGTTCATCTCCACATATGTTATACTTGCATACAAAACGATGTCTAATTGCTTTTCAATAAACCATGAATTCTCAACGCCCCGGGTTAATTAGGTCCGCTTAAATTAACCGTCAAGTTTTCCTTAAGTTAATGAATTGGATGATTGCATACGACAATCCAAAGCATTCCTCACAAGTTCCCTACATGAATTGCATAATAGAGATACAAGCAAGAATCATTAAGCATCATGAAAACTATAAGTGTTGACGAGGCATTCGTTACTATGATTGCATGAAACTTATGCCAAGAATATGTTTAACACGATTGTTTATAAGCAACCTCCACTACTTGTGAATATAAGTTCATAACTATTACGTGAAACTCACTTATATTCTAGCGTCAAATTCATGCATGAAAATTAAGCGTTCATTCTTAATAAACATACATAAATAGGTTATCAATTAAACAGTTAAACAAATTGAATTCACAACTTATGAAACGTAATTAAAAGTAATCAAATCATATTACAAACATAAACATAGTTTCGAATCACCCCCTAGCTAAAGGGGGTTTATTTCCTCATACGTACAAAACAAAGAGAATTGAAATTAAACATTGAAATCAAAGAAACGCCTAAACATTCCAACAACTCAATCTTGAATTGTATGAACGTTTAGGCCCTCTTATCTTCCTCTTTATTGTAGCATAAGGTCTAGGGATAGTTGGTTGGGGGGATGGAAGTGTTGGGAAATTATGGAAATGGATGAGGAGTGGTGGAAATGGAAGATGGTTTTTGGATTCTAAGGGAGACTCACGGCTAAGGAAGGTGGATGTGTTTGTGGTGTTGTGTTGTGTTGTGAATGAGATGATTCGTGAATGAATGAATGCAAGGGTATTTATAGGAGGAGTGGAGATGTATATGGCTATTTGTTTAAGGTGTTTGTGGTTGCAATGATGAAGAATTGCATGTGGAAATAAAAGGGAAAATGTGGTGAAATGATGAAGTAGGAAGGTGGAAATGCATGTGAGATGTTGGAAAGGAAATGGGAATATGAGTAGGCCATGGCATGGGAGTTGTTTTGTTGGTGTAAATGTGCCATGGTTGCAATGATGAAGAATAAAGGGTGCATGTGGGGTGGAATTGAATGAATGCAAAGTGAATGAATAATGAAATGAGTTAAAGAGGGAGAATGTGGTGAAATGATGAAGTAGGAAGGTGGAAATGCATGTGACTTGTTTGTGGAATAAAGAATGAATGGTGGAATGATGAAGAGTTGCATAAAGAATGCATGTAGGGTTAGCTAGGTTGGCTTTGTTTGGGTGCATGTGTGTTAATGGTGGTTTTGCATGTGAATTGATGGATTGTTTTTGATGGAATGGATGGTTCTTTGCATGGCTTTTGAAGTGATTGTGGGCTTTGGAATTGGAAGGAAATGCATGGCCTTGGGGTTGGTTTAAGAGAGAATGGGCTAGGCCCTTTTTTTTATGTCCAAAATGAATACAAGGCCTTCAAATTCGTCCAACACTTTGGCTCCAATCATATGCTATCCATTCCAAGCCCAATTTTGCTCCAAAATGCTCCAAAATGCATCTTTTTGCTTCCTTAGCCATATGAACCTAAAAACACACGAAAATGGCTTAAACTACTAAAACAACTATGAATTAACAACATAGATGCACGAAAACAAGCTAAGTAAGTCGCCTAAATATGCTCCTATCACTACACATGATTGTATTCCAACTGGGTATTTGGCCACATTCAAATATGTGCGTTGTAGTACTTCGACTGAGATCTCCTTAATAATCTTATTGATAAATGTAACTTCATACCTACCAGTTTAAATAAAAAAACATATTTAGTCAATCAAATTTTTTGCTATATTTCTTTGTAAAAGAAAATAATAATAATAATAAAATGCTACTAAATCCACCGTATTGTTTTATTTTATATTTTTGGTAAACCCATGTTGTTTTATTTTTCCACTCACATTTTAATGAAAATGTTAGATCCCTAATTGTTTCTCTCCCTACCCTTCGTCCTCCGTTTCTCTCTCCCCCATTTTTCTCTCTCTTCTGTTTCGTGTCTCTCCTCTGGCTTCTGCACCAACGACTTCCCTTCTCTCTCTTGGAAACCAGTCTCTAATTATTCGAATCTCTCCCTCTCTCGACCACACTCTCTCTCTCTCTCTCTCTCTCTCTCTCTCTTCCCCAACCCAAATCTTCTGTCACCTGCAAATCCAAATTGCATAGCTGAAATAACAAAATCTCTCCTCACCCAATTTCCCCTTTTACCCTCTTTGTCTATTTCTGATTTCCATTTGCTTCCACTGTCAGTTTTGTACTCGGAATTAATTTCGAATTAATCAATTTTCGAGCTAGGGTTCATTTTTTATTTGGAAAAAAAAAAGATTGGTTGCTAATTCATTTATATATTTGGGTTGATTAATTAATGGAGTCAAGTTTTGATCAGTGGGAGAAAGATCCATTATTTCCGGCGGTGGAATAAGTTCAAGAATTCGCCGACAGATAGCATTTCTCATGGTTCGTTTCTGTGATTTCTAGGGCTCCAATTCCAAATATGTTCATCAGTTTGTGGATTTTTCCAACAAATTTTAAGAGCCTGTTTGATACTTTATTTGAATTCAATTTTTTAAGCTCAAAAACAATTTTCAAGTTTTAGGTTTAAAAACTTGTTTGGTAGGATTATTTTCAAAAACTGAAACTTAAAAATATAGTCTATTCTCTAAAAACATAAAAAGTGAGTTTTTAGAATTTTTAAACTTAAACTCACTCATTTCTTTTCTCTCCCTCCTCCCATCTTACTCCAAATCTATCTCTCTTATCTTCTTTCTCTCCTTTTTTTTTTTTTTTTTTACTTTTTTCGTCTCTTCTTCAATCTGCTCCCTTCATTCTCTCGGTTATTTCTCCCACTCCTCTTCCTCTCTATCTCGTCTGATCCTCTCTTCTTTCTCTTTCGTTCAATCATCTATTACTTTCTTTCCTCCTTTCTCCTCTTTCTCTATCTCCTGCAACCCCTCTTTTTAGATCTCTTTCTCTAGTTTATGTCGTAAGATTTAAAATTTTTAAATTGCAAATCAATCAAGTTTTTGAATCTTAAAGAAAATTATTTTCAAGAAATGTTTTGAGAAATGATAAAAAATTTCAAATAGAATATCAAACATGCTCTAAATTTTTTAACGTTTTATTGCAATTTTGCATCTTTAATTTGATAGCTTCCAGCTCATTTGTGATAGCTTCCAGCTCATTTGGATAAAATCTTAGCTTTAGGAGAGCAATTTAAGAGAGAGAGAGAGAGAGAGAGAGGGGCCAGGGGAATCATAATCTTGGTTCGATGCTGAGAAGCTTGCTGGTACGCTCTCCCTCTTAAACTGCTTCCCCTTTACTTGCAGATTTGCCTTTTTTTTATTTTTTTTATTACTGTTTCTGGTATTCTTACTTCCATTTTTTCGATTTAATTCTTTTGCTTTGAACTAAATTGGTTGAATCGATGAAGCAGATCTCTTGCTCTCTACAACTCTCCAACAAAACCAATGACTATGTAGCTTTCAAGGTTGTAGATTTTCACCAGATAAGTTAAGTTTTTTGGACTTTTAGAGATTTGCAATCTTGATTTTGGTGTAAAGTTAGTTCACGTAGGGACTGACGGTGAAAATAGGACATTTGAGGTGTGGTGTATTAAAGTTATTTTAGAGATAATAGTGGGTGGAAAATAAGATGTTAATTTTTTAAATTTTTTATTGTGGATGGAATGATAATGTGTGAGAAAATAGAATAACGGGTGAGTTTATCAGCACCTCAAAAAAAAAAAAAAAAATGGCAGAGTATTACACGAAAAAGGAGTGCCGGCAACAACAAAAGTCACTCCCTGATTCGCTAGCTTTGGTGAATGACAAGTCTATAATTATATATGAAGAAGATGGACACGTAGGTTTAACATAAACGAGCCTTCATGTACCTTGGTTGTTTTCCCTTGCTTCCAAAAAAAATAAATAAATAAACGAGCCTTCATGTACATGCGTAGTGCGTGCAAAAATTATTTTTTGACATATTATTGTGAGTTAAGTCTATCCCCTCTTCTTTAGTGTAAATACGCACGCGAAACATCATTTTTATAATCAGCATTACGCGACTGTTAAAATGTTTTGAATGTGTTTAAAAATATAGAAAATAATATTTAATTAAAAACTAATTGAATCACATTATTGCTAGGCCATTATGATGTACTAATTATTAAAAAAAAATTAAAAAAGCTGTATAAAAAAAATTAATTGTAAAAAAACAATGTTTATATTACGAAAATATTCTTGCATTATTTTAGGCTGTTTTTGAACTTTTTTGTTTGGAAGGTATTTTTGTCCCATCATTTATGGTGAAGAATGGGCTTCCAACTTTATATGGTAGCATAGATAAGACTCATAAGAGTCATCTTCTTCATATGTAAATTATAGACTTGCCATTCAGCAAAGCTGAAAAATTATGGAATTGCTGCAGTCAAGGATGTGCCCCTTGCTAGGGATTTAAAAACTAGCAACTAAATAGGTATTATTGTAGTAGAAACTGAAACCTGAAATACAGAATCATATAATTAAACAAACTACAAGGAGTGAAGAAATGTACGTACTCTTCCTCTTTGACAGTATGTCCTGACAAATTTGATACTTCTTTTAGAGCACTCCTCCATAAGAGGATCTTCTCCTCGTCCTTGTATTTGTGCTCGAGTCTTGTAAATGCGTCACCGAACCTACTCGTTTGATTTCGTACATGGGACGGATCCACCTTGTAGAAAACTGGCCAAACTATTTGCTGCCTTGACCTTCTACATTCAAGGATATGTACGAGCTCATCCAAGCGCCATCTTGATGATGCATAGTTTTCAGATATTACAATGATTGAAATTCTCGACTCTTCAATTGCTTTTAGAAAAGTCGGTGATATTTCTTCTCCTCTTTTAAGATGGCGATCAATGAAGATGTCGATTCCGTTACGGTTCAAGGTCTCATATAAATGATTTGTAAAAGTAAAGCGTGTATCCTCACCTCTAAAACTCAAAAATACATCATATGTCCATGAAGGAGGCAAGGAAGAAGAAGAGGCAAGTTGAATGGCCATAAGAGAATTAAAGACAAATAAACTAAAGAAAAGAGCCTCTCAAAGAATTGGAATCTGCAGTATGGTATGGAGTGTGGACTCTCTCTTGTTGTATATATCCTTATGCATGCTTTTCTTCCTGTGAAGGAAGCAGCAGTTTCCTACCACCTTCAATGTGAATGTGGACTCTCTCTTGTTACATTAGTCCTCATGCTTTTCTTCCTACCTGCCAAGCAATTTCCTACCTACTACCTTTCAATGTGAATGTGGTCAAGTTGAAGCAGATGAATTTTCGTGACAATTTCATTGAAGATTGAAAAAAAAAAAAAATTGTTACTTAGCGGTCTTTAATTTAAAGAAGAGGAAGTTTCTTTGCAAACTACTACCGACTACTTTTGATGTAACAATCCACCATTACAAGATTTTAAAATGGAAGGAGATCCTCTCTGGATCTCTTCCACCAAGATCACTGGATCAAGTGATTTGGGTTTTTGAAATTTAATCAAACGACTAAAAACAAAAGTCCCATTTAAAAGTTATAATAATTTTAATTGTTTGATTAAATTTCAAAGGTCCGAATCACTTGATCCAGTGACCTTGATGAAAGGGATTCGAAGAGGACCTCTTTCCTTTTAAAATAATCACAGACGACTGAAAAATATAAAAATATTACTAATAAAGTGGCCATACCAAGGGAAGTATCTCCGATGATGTAGGCAAATTTCTCTCCACTAACTAGTGGGGGTCTTTAATTTAAGGAAGAATGTGTCTTTTTCCATTATGTAGTTTCTTTTTCCCTTGATCGATTGAGCACTATAGTTTGTCTGTATTCAATTATTTGTTGATATCGTAATCACCTGTGGCCTTTCTTCACCACGAATGAAATAATAATTCCGACCCATTTGCCCACTTTCGAAGACCAAATCTTTGTTTTGTATTTTTTTTTTCGATGGATTTAATTAATTAATAGCCAGCTAAGCTGAATAAATGAGCAACGCATGATTTAACTCTCTCCCTCTCATCGTTCGTTAACTAGAGAAAGTTCAAATGTCGTTCGATCTTTTCGGGTACAGCCAAGCCGCCTTGAAACTTCATTGTCTGGAATCATAATTTGCAATCCGGAGTGCTCACAAGCAATACTTCGTAGAATAAACATCGGAGGTCCTAGCACTGAAGGTCCAAGTTTCCTAGATAAAAATAGAGCGGGAACTGCTCAAAAAGAAAATTTAGTTTATTCACAACAGCATTTTTTGGAACACTTGATAGACTTGTTATCATCGATCAAACCATATTACACATATGTCAATAGATTAATCCACACACTCAAAGTTCAATATTTAATTAATCACGCACATCTTCATGTAGATAATTGAAGTTATTCATGGTGGATTTGGTGGTGGTGGAGGTGGAAAACCAACAGAAAAATATTAAAAAAAAAGAAAAAAAAAGAAAAAAAAGAAAAAAAAGAAAAAAAAAGGAAAAACTAATGAAAAGTCATCAAAAACTTTAGTTTTAATCAAAAAGACAAAACAAAGGTGTAAATGAATAGTACTATAAGTGACTTTTCAAGGTAAAAATGTCTTTAACGGTAAAAGTGAATAGTACAAGAAGTGTTTCATTAAAATTCCCAAAAAAGAAAGATGCACTGTAGTAAACGAAGCGGAAGAGGAAAGGGTGAAGGGTAGAGAGAGTTTAGTTTATTTTTTTTTGTCAAACGATTAATTTTGTTAGATTAGTTACCGATAAAGTTCAAACCTATATTGTCGTATAAAAACTCAACTTTTTTTCACCACTGTGGTAAATGATTACTTGTTAGAGTTATAATTTTTTTATTTCAACTTCCTCTTATTCTATTTTTTTTTTCATTGTTTTTCTTTGGGAGCATGATTCTCTCCTCTCATATTCACATCCTCTTCTCTCTCTCCTCCTCTCACACTTGTTTTTTGTCTTATTGTCTCTATAAAAAAAATCAATATAAGATGTTGACGTGACTTAACCGTAACCATTCAAATAGGAGGGGAGAAAAGTGAAGAAAAATTAGGATGGGAGAGAATCGTATGCTAATTCGTACTTGTTGCTTTTTGATATGTTAATCTGTAACCAAGCCCAAGCCCAAAGTCCATGGGCCAGGCTTATTTCAATGTAATTACTTATAAAGGCTAATGAACTTAGTTTTTGTCGATTTGGGACTTGCATCCCCCATAACTTCCATCATTGCCTGGAATCAAAACTTGCAATCCAGTCTTGATGGTGTCAACTAAATCTATATAATATCTCGATTAGGGAAAGAAGAGAGTGGAACCTGATTCAACAAATTATTTTCCGACTTCGCCACGTTATCAAATCTCTGGCGACACCCTTGGGAAAATTTTCCAATGATGAGCTTAGGACATCTTGAATACTTCTACATTCTTGAGGGACCTTGAATTTAGACTTCTTAGTATTTGTATTACACTATTTTTATCTTCACATTTGAAGAAACGTGCAGTGTCAACAAAAACTTGTTGCAAAAATATTCGCATGCATCAAAACTTTTCCGAAGTATCTTTTGAATGCCCTTATAATGTTCTTTTTCCTAAGAATCATAACTATCCAATATAGCTTGCCAGCGATCAACAATTTCATTATGCTAATGAGAACTCGTAAGTGTCAGAACTAATGGAGGTTCATTTATTCTGAAGGTGTTCAAATTCAAAAGCTCAAGAGCTTGGTTATCAGGTAACTTTTTGGCCTCGTATATCAACTGAATTCCATGACATTTTAGCAGTCCTCTGTCTTTTATGGTTTTGATCACTCTACTACCCTCACCAAACCATTCAGCTTCAGCCAAACTGTTTAATTGGTCCAATTAATCCACATCATCAAGAATTAAGAGTCTTTTTATGCCTCAACATTTGCTTTATAACTTCAATATAAAGACAATATTATTTTCTTTTTCAATACCTTATGGTGCAAAATGAGAAAATCAAAACTTTATAACCCAAAGAGTGTGAAAGGTAGTTAACCAAAAAATAAATATAGGAAAAAAGGAGGGGACATAAAACCTAACTGTCTTGAAATAAATAGAAAAACACACAATATTAAACAGAAAACCCGTCAACCGTGGGGACTGCACCAGCTGCATATCAACAAAAATACACAATATTGTCATTGGTTGGAAGTGGACGGTTGCTCTTCCTCCTTCTCTATATGATAGGAATACTGATATCAATATGCCTCCTCTTTTGATGATCCGGTGGCTCCGAAGACAAGGAAAGTCATTCTCGTCTTGGTTACACGTTTCATGTAACTCCTCTCGCTTCAAAGACAAAAAAACCAGTATAAATAAAGAGATATAGACTTCGAGAAAAACTACAAATGCAAATAAAAAAAGTTAACTTGATATCACTCCGAAATATAAATAATTTGGGATATGTATTAACGAAACATAATTTGATTTGCTTCTGATTTTACAATTGACAAATAGATGGAAATTTTGATTTGGTGTTGATTAATAAGATTTAGTATGATTTTAGTATCAAGAGGAGATAACAATGTAGAAAAACATGGCCGCTTGAATCAACTTGATTGATCTTTACCCTCGTAACCTCACAGGTCACTATTCCTGTATGTTACTTTCTTGCAGATTCTTTCATTCACATATCTGAAAAAGACCTGGATTTAACTGAAAAAAGTACACATTATATTTAAACTGCCTTTCCTTTGGATGCCCGACCGTTGTGGTTTCCATGTTTTTGTGATTTCTAGAATATTAGCCCTTCAATTTATAAACCTATCCATTTTTGTTATCATTTGTCAACAGACTGATGAGGAGGCAATGACTTCTATTGAATCAACCTTATCCTTCTATGTTCTCTTTCGATTCTGATGGTAACATTTTGCTTAAGTTAGTTCAAGTAGAAGAGTTGTGAGGCATATAGGTGTCGCTTCAGCATTGCGGTCAAACTCATAGAGCATGATGGTGGATCAAGGTGAGTGAAATAAAGGAAAGAAATATGAAATATTTTAGAAAATAAATGACTTACGTTGGAGCTTGATAAATTGGGCTGAAACGAATAGTTCTTTTTAGGTTTTATCTACTGTCTCATTTTGTGCTATATTAATACGAAGTTATGAAGTTTGTTTTCCTTCCATTGTTGTTTGTTTTAATTAATTAGAATTTGGTTTTATTAGTCAAGGGCTGTGGCTTACTCACTTACAGACTTACAGTCACAGGTATGTTTAGGATACAAATATGGTTTCTGTTTTTCTAATAACTAGCCACCTACATATATGAAATCTTTGTTTCTGCAGATTGAAAATGAATATTATATTACTTAGAAGGGCAAATGTTGTAGAGAAGAAATTATAACTAATTGCTATTGTACCAGAGATCACATTCAAAGATTCAACAATTCATCACCAAATTGGGACGATGGAAAGGTGTGGATTTAGAGATAATGTTGAATTGCTTATGAAATGTTTGATGCAAGTTTTATAGTTTTTCTGATTCAACTTGTCAGGATTAAGTGATGTTAGTTATGGAACTATTCTTGAGGTAAATTGGCTTTTTAATCATGCGCAATTTCCATCAGGTTTATCCATCCGACTTTAAAGATTGTTGTAGAAGCTTTAATTTCTCCATTGCTGGCATTTGAGGACTAAATTCGAAGTTCCTAGATGGTTGTTTGGAAGTCCGCTGCTTATGCTTTTTCACAATAATGTACAAACCAGCTTAGCTTGGTGGATTTCTATTGATTTCCGCTTTCATTTGATTTATAGACGATTTTATATAGTAGAAACGACTTTCAATTGATTTGATTAGCTTGATGGTGTTTCTGTTTTTTATTGATGATATTTTTACATTTTAGGCAAGAGAAGCAAGTGTAAGTGAAAGACTGAGCATCTGATCCAAATGTTATACCAATGTGTATTTTTCATTTATAATTTTTTGTTGAAGAGTTGGGAAAAGTTATATCTATGTGTACTTTTCATTTATAATAGACGAAATGTAGCATTATTTAACATTAATTTGCGTCTTATTATTTATCCGTTTGTCTAAATTTGAAGATATAAAATGAGTGAGGCCAGTCGGTTTGTTAGGGAAGTGGGCTGGTCCTCTTAACGGAGTATGAATCTCCTTTCTTCTAAATTAGGTTAATTTAGAATATGGTTTTGTCAAAAGATATATACATAAAAAAAAAATGAATGCAAATAATGTTTTATGGTAGTAGTGGATGTGAATCGTATTTATGCTACCTGATA